TCTTCTCCTCTTCCTGCTCCCACTGTGCATATCTCTCATCCTCATTGAGCGCCACAACATCCTCCCCAACATCAGTATCACCACTAACGGTGCCTTCATGAGGTTCACCATCTTGTTTCATCTTCACCTCCTCACTACCTATCTCCCTCTTAGCGGCTCTTAATTCCCTCTTCTTATAATTCTTCCTAATCCTAATGCTCAAGGCACGCACAACCTGATGAACAGTCTTGTAAATCCTGTCATATCATACCACCATTAGCCCATCATAACTTTCTTGAGGAGGTCACTGAGTAGAACAAGATAAATCAAATAGGAAACAACATACTGATTGTGATCCTCTGGCCAAACAAGCCCCTTCGCTCCGTTCGGGAAAAATCTTGGTCCCATCTCCTCGAGAGTTTTCTGGAGCCATGCGCTGTAAGTTGGATTTCCTGCACCGTTGCCTAGACGCTTGAAATCGAAAGCGGGAGTGCCGGGAACGACAACGGATTTGATGTAAACTTTGAGCTTGTAATACTTGTCGGGGGTCATGCCAATTTCGGTGATGCGCTTGGGTGGTTTGGCCCTTCTGGTGCTTCCTAGAGTTTTTCTTCCCATCTTTGCAGTTGTAGTTGTCGTTGGATATTCGATGTTTTTCTCTTTCTTTTGGATGCAGGAGTTGCTGTGGCAATGGCGATGGAGTGGTACGGATTGAACTCCACACGGGTGTTAAGGGAGTTAGGACGTTGGGCGGGCGCCGGCGTCGGGAAGCGTGGGGAATTAGGGTTTGTGTTTGGCCTTTGTTTTTCTTCTAAATTGTAGGGTAGGTAATCATCTAGTAGGAAAGCCGCGTGAGTCATGTGTCCCCACTTACTTTACGTGCATACCCACCGGAACTTGCGGTTGGGGGCAAGTCTGTTCCTTTGGGCAGTTCGGCGATATATATCGTTCCGCGGGATAAGATATGGAGTAGCATTGATGCTCATCCATTCTCCCGACAGTGGGTTTTTATTCCTCTTCTGGTCTAGAGTCTCCCCCTTCCGGATCGGGTCGATACGATAAAGTGTAGCTATCTCGATCACAGAGTAATTTATTCACAGAAAAATAGAGACTGGCATGAAACCACCATCAAGAAACCGAGCGATATATTGAGAGTAATAAAACGGTATTAGCTTCTTATTCTTCAGTAGTAGGCACACTTATTCTCTGGGTATTTCCAGCCGTCTACTCTTTTCCACAATTGAGATTCCGAATCCTACCGGTCCTAGCGGACCCGAGTCTCGGTCTCGGGGAGCTGTTTGTTTTCCGAGGGAGCTCTCCGGAGAATCGATCAGCGAGAGAATAGAATTGGAACTAGCTACAAGACAGAAGGGGTTTGTGTTTTCTGCCGGGGCTCAATCGTCTGAAATGGCTAGACTAGTGTAGTTCCCAGCCCGCATCCATTCACGCCCTACAAAATGGTAATCGATTGAACGATAAGGAGCACCCCCTTGAGTGCCAATTGGAGGTGGGGCAATGTCGATTCTAAGTTGGGAAACCGGCAGGGGGGGGGGGGGGGGGGGAGGTGCTCTCCCATAAGTTTAGCTTTTTAACACTCAGGAAAGAGAGACCCCAATGGTGTAAGTTCTTGTGAAGCACCGGTTCTAGGCACTTGGAGTCCAAAATTTCACCCCAATCAAAATAGTTATTAGACAAATCTGGGAAGTGAGCAGACACCTCGAGCTATAGTGAACAGTTGTGTACTATACAATCAATACTAGCTGCCGCAAAAGAGAGGAATTGGAAATACACCTTCACCAAACCGGGCAAGGTTTCTAGCTCGACAACCTCCTCATCCACCCCTTGCTCCGCTGTGTCGTGAGCCCGAATCTCCCGGAGAAACGCCGTAATCATTGCCATTGTCTTCTCAGCTTCCTGCTCCCACTGCTCATATCTCTTGTCCTCGCCGGGCAACATAACACGTTCCTCGGTATCGGTATTACTAGTAGCCCCTACTCCATGGGGTTCATCTTGTGCCATCTCCATCTCCTTACCACCTCTCTCCTTGAACAACTCTCAATTCCTTCTTCCTATAACCCCTCCTAATCCCAATACTCAAGACACGTACAACCTGATGAACAGTCTTGTAAATCCTACCGTATCATACCACCATTAGGCCATTATGATCCCGAAAAATCACTAGGTAGAACAAGATAAAATCAGATAGGAAAAAGCATACTTATCGTAATCCTTGGGCCAAACCAACCCCCTCCCGTTGCTCGGGAAAAATCTCGGCCCAATTTCCTTTAGAGTGTTATGGAGCCATAGTTGGTAATTTCTCTTTTTTGTGCGGTCACCTAGACGCCTGCAGTCGAAAGCGGGAGTACCTGGGACAACGATGGACTTGATATAGACTTTAAGTTCATAGCACTTATCGGAGGTCATGGAAATTTCAGTAATGTGTTTAGGAATTTTGTCCCTTCTGGTAACCCCTAGAGATGTTTTTCCCATTTTTTTTTTTCCGATGTTGGTTCGATATTCGATCTTCTTTCCCTTCTTCCCTTTTTTGGTGGTGGTGGAGGTGGTTGTCCCTGTGATGGTTCTGGAGGCGGGGGCGAAAATTCTATGATTGACCAGTGATAAGAGAATGTCACACCGATGGGAAGGAGTGTAGTATCTTGAAAGATGAGAATCTAGGGTTTAGTTTTGACCGTTAGTTGTATGATACGACATTTTACGTTATAGGGTTGAAAGAGGTCCCGGTATTGAAACCCAGCAAGTCATGCACTCTCACTCGCTCCGCATGCCCACTCAAGACTGAATTTGCGGGGAGAGAATAGGAAACGTTATTCGTGATAAAGGCAAATATTGAGACATACCATAATACGCTAGACTAATTGGATGTTCTATGATACTAGATCAAAAGGCCATTTCAGACGGTCTTTTTCCGCCAAAAGCGTAGGTTTTTATCCTCCAATCGGACAAGATTTCCGGTCATAACAATCTACCAATACCTCATCCTGTGCTACCAACCCCAAGAATAACATGAAACTTTAGAGAACCCATAAAAGCTATGAAACCATGGAAAGAATGTGGCCTGAGTCGGAGGCATCTGGTTTCCATGTACCTTTTTCTATAGAGCCTCATACAAAATCTTAAGTCACTTCCCCACGGAGCGTTGTGGCTTTTGAAGTCGTAAACTCAATCTTAAATTTTCTTTATTTGCACCTCTAAGGGGATATGTCGAAGAAATTTTCCGCCTAATATCGGGGGGCAATCTCTCCGGAAACGTAGATCACCCACTAAACCTAGGATAAAAACCTCATGTTTGATGAAACATTTTGGCTGGGTATGATACTTTATATTATGTTGGACAAAATATCAACAGCATTGGCACAGCACCGCTGCCATCGGAGGGTATCCCCCCTATTTATCCTCCCATAGAGTGAACTTCAGAAACTAAGGAGGTGCCCGGGAATAGGCCCTGGTGGTGTCGTGGGAGTACGATGGGAATTTCCGGCTATATATATATTTTTTTCTTTCGTGTCAGGCACAGAGCACAAACAATAGGTATAGCGATAATTAGGATAGTGCCAACTTTTACGATATACTTCAAATTTTTTTTCCCCATATTTTCCAATAGTGGTTGAGTTTACGATACGTTGCAAGATATCCGAGGTCATGCGCTATGCTTGATTCACCGATTGAGATTTGGTGAAGCTCCAAGCAAGGTTGGCCAGCCCCAAAAAAGCCATAGCCAGCTCACAGGACACTGTTTGTTTTCCAAGGAAACTCCACAGACTGTTGATAGAAGTGAAGATCGAATTGGGTTCAACTAGAAATACAGGAGCAGTTTATTTGTATCGAGCCTCTAGTGTCTAGAATAATAAGACAAGCACAGTTCCATGGCCCTATTTACTCATGCCCCACAAAAACAAGCGCCGCTTAATGTGTCTAATCAAAGATGAATAGCACCGATGCCAAATTAGGAAAGCAACAAGAGAAGGCGGGCAATCTGGACGCAAGTATTTAGCCTCAACGCTCCGCAGTGACGGACAGGAATTGGCAAGATAACGTACCGGTTCTGGGCTGCTAGGGTCCAGGATTTCATCCCAATCGAAATATTCATCATCAAAATTGGGGAAATGGGCAAACACCTCGGGCTATGGTGGATAGTTGTTAGATTCTGAAAATACCGGAAATCGCAGTCGAGAGCACTTGGGGGCATACCCTCATTAACCCAAGCAGGTCTTCAAGCTCGATAGGCTCCGCATCCATGCCTTCCTCCACTGTATCATCGTCCTGATTATCCCGGTCCGCAGCCTCCAGAATCTCCCTCATCCTCTCTTCTTCCTCCTCCCATTGTGCATATCTCACATCTTCATCGAGCGCCGCAAAGTCTTCCTCAGTATCAGTATCACCAGCGGCCCCTCCATGGGGTTCCTCATCTTGTACCACTTCCATCTCATCATCGCTACTTCCCTTTTGAACAGCTCTCGGGTTCCTCCTGTAATAATTCTTCCTAATCCCAATGCTCAGGACACGCACAACCTGATGGACAGCCTTGTAAATCCTATTATATTATACGAATGTTAGCCAATGGTAATGTCCTTTAGAAAATCACAAACTTAGAACAAGGTAAAACCATGTAAAGAAAAAAACATACTGATCGTAATCCTCAGGCCAGACCAACCCCCTCTTGCCGCTCGGAAAAAAACTAGGCCCAATCTGCTCAAGAGTCTTATGGAGCCAGATGTAGTAGGATTTCTTGTTTGTGCCGTTGCCTAGACGCCTAAATTCGAAAGCCGGGGTGCCGGGGACGACGATAGACTTAATATAAACCTTAAGCTCATAGTACTTATCGGAGGTCATGGAAATTTTCGTGATGTGCTTGGGGATTCTGGCCTTTCTAGTGGACCCTGGAGATTTTCTTTCCATTTTTTGCGATTTTTGTTGGGTACGATATTCGATTTTTTTTTTGGTGGTGGTGGTTGTCCCGGTGAAGGTTGTGGGGTGGTGTAGGTGAAATCCTAGACCATTCATAAGAGGATGTTAGAGGGATGGGAGGGGTATGGTATCCTGAAATATGGTGATCTAGGGTCTGGTATTGACCTTGGTCATGTTTTACTTTATAGGGTTAGGGGAGCTCCAGGTAAGGAGACCTTGCAAGTCATCTATTCTCATTTACTCAGCACCCTTCTATCTGTAGGCAAAGTGCTAGTACTGGGATAGAAGGGTTGGCATAATTGTATAAGCCTAATATAACTGATTACAACTTGATCTTTGCTGTGCCCCATTATTATTGTGAATCGTACTCGAATGTGTTTCATTCGGCGCAGTAAAAAGCTCCTGGTTCTTTACCGGTTTCAATGTCTCGTATTCGGTTCTGTATCAATGCCTGCTGTACTTCTTCTTCCTCCTCCGATAACTATCTGCCCTTATATACATTGACAATGGGAGAAAATTCCTTGCGGTCTCCTAATAGACTCCTGGTAACCCCTCTTTTACCCTGCTTCCTGTTTCCATGAACATCTTCCAACTTCTCTTCTACCCCTCTTTCATCAACCAATCATACTCTTCCATATTCCCACATGTTACATATTTCCTTGTCTCCCGAGTAGACTTACTAGTATACTTACTAGTATATCAGTACAGGCCTTTGCAGAGAAAAACTGAGAACCTTCCATCCTGCTGATAAATGAAAAACCCCCATAAGCATTACAAGCATGAAGCCAATAGTAACTTGAGAGACTTCTTCGCTACCCTGCAATCCTGATAGGTAATTGCGATAGGACCATTACCCAGAGTACCGGTAATTTGCAATAATTATTTCCCATCCTGTTAAGTTATACAGCTAAGCATTTGTCCGACTTTATGAAGGAGCAAGTAATTGCTCTTAGAAGTCAAAATCTTCCCTATTTCATGATTGAGAAACAATTAAACTGCTCTTCCTCTACCATCAGAAATATTTTCCTCAGATAGTACTAAATAAGTAGTATGGAGAAACACCTTTGTGCATCTCAGAGATCTAAATTACTTAGTAGTTGCACTTGGTACTATCTTACCAGGGAGTCTAGAAAAGCATGACGTCAAACCTTTACAGAGTTGTGTAGTAATATTGCCTCTCAGGTCTTAGTTAAAACAGTCAAGTACTCTTTAATCTTGATAAATATTAAGAAGTAGAAAGTAAGAAAGAGAGTTATCCCTGAGAATGAACACAGGGTTAAGAGGTAAGCTTAGGCTTAGGTGTTATGAATATGACTTATGAAGGATTAGGTTTCACATGACTCAGAGTTCTGAGTTATAAGTATATTATGTTTTGCACCTGACTTGCTTTAAGAGTTATAGGATTTCATATGACTTAGGGGGTGTTTGGCATACCATGATTTGATTTCAAAATCAAATCTTGAGAATTTTTAACTCAAATTATAAATTGTAAAAACAGGGTAGGATTAAGTATAATAGTTGTAATAATGTGTGTTAAAATTGCCAAGATGTGATTTTGAAATCCAAATCATGGTACACCAAACACCCCCTTACAGTTGTAAAGTCACTATTATATTATGATTGGTTGACTGTTTGAGTAACTCATAATATTATAATTTTTGCACATGACATAAGTTATGAGTCATGGGTTTCACTCAGGTAATATAAGTTATGTATCTGACCTGGTTATTTGATTTTGATTGGTTAAGGAATGTTGTGTAGTGACTCATAGAAGTTAGCTGAAGGATTTCACATGACTTATAGTTATAAGTCATATGTTATATGTGACTTATAGGTATGAGTTACAAGGATTGAGGTTACATAAAGAGTGGCTAGATAAAAGAGTAATAGGACCTAAGGGGAGGAGCTCTTCATACTACCATCTGCATATTTCTTTACCTATTGATTTTATTACTTTATTTAAGAAAACTTATTACACTGTCTCAGAACATCTATCATCTCCAAAGAACTATCAGCTTAATAAGACTAAGTACAGTCCAGATGCTGTTTGGCAGAAGATTTAAATAAGGTTTAAATAAAATATATTGAGGGAGATTTATTGGAAAAGTTACAGGAGTCCATTCCTAGGAGAGTGACTGCAAATTTAGATTCAAAGGAATGGTATACTAAATATTGGGTTTTTTTAAATTTTTTGACTCTTAATCTATCTTAACTATCTCTTAAGTTTTAGTTAGGATCTGTTTGGACATGATGATTCTGTTCCATTCTCCTAGACAAAATGCCCATTTTTTAACAGAACTGTAAGGCATTAGGTTGGTATAGGTGAATGGAATGGAATGAGCTTGTCTAAACAGACCATCGTTTAAGCTATTGGTTATTGTGGGGGGTTAAATATGAATTGTATGGTCCTTTGTTGCACAGTTGACTAACACTTTGGTCCCTATATGATACTTTAACTCCTGTAAATAAAGGCGCGTGGTAGGATGCGTAATGCTGGATCAAAAAAGAAATTTGTCAGGGAGGGGTCCCTTTTCATGCCAAATACATTGACTTTTATCCCATTTAGTAAAAATCAGTATATATAAATTTAAGAATCTACTAAATCTCATACTGTCCCACTAAACTCGCGGATAACTTATAAAGCTTGAGAGAACTTGACCTCATAAAATCCATGGATCCATGGCGGGGATGTGGGCTGGATGGGGGGTGTGTAGTTTCCATATTTTTTGATTTTTTCCATAGAGCCCTATTCAAGGTTGTAAGTCGTTTTCACACCAAGTGGTATGATTTCACGTCGTTACATCCATCTTATCTTTTCTTTATCTGTACTCCTACGGGGATGGGTTGGAGAATTTTCCGGGTGATATCGAAACTCCAATTGTTCCCAACAGAGCAGCACTAGGGCCATCTCTCCAAAAGCGTTGATTTACTTACAAACCCTCGTGTAAAATCCATGCCGGGTGAAGCTTTTTTGTTTGGTATGATACCTTATTTATCAGACAAAATATGCAGCAGCATTCGCACTTTTCCATTCTCCCCTGAGGATCGTTTCCCCCTCCTCCCCACGTAGGGGAAGCAATGAAACTAACGAGACCCCCAAAACAAGCCGTGATGACACCGTGGGGGTTTACGGCGAATCTTAATTATTTTTTTCTTCTCATGAAGCAGAGAGCCAGCACAATAATTAGCTGGTAAATCATGCACGGACCCAAACCTCTGTAAGACTGTCGCATAAAAACAGAGTGAATATCGACAACACCAACCAAAACAGCATCAGCCTCTGCGACACGATTCGAGTATTTTCCCTCTCATATTGTCCAATAGTGGGCGTGCTTACGACATGGGCGAAGGTATCTCAGGTCACGTGCTGTGCTTGAGTCACCGATTGAGATTCTGTGAAACCCCAGCCAATGTTTACCACCCCCAGCCAACCCATGTTTTGATCCGAGGACACTATTTGTTTTCCAAGGAAACTCCACAGACAATTAAAAAGTGAAAAATTTATTGGATTCAGCTAGAGATACAGAAACAGCTTATTTATTTCTATTGAGCTCTTTTGTCTGGGATACTCGGCAGGCACAGCTCCATGCCCCGATCTACTCAGTTCCTATTAGAATAAGTGCCACATAAAGTGCAGAATAAAAGCGGAACAGTATTGATTCTAAGCTAAGAAAGCAAGAAGAGAAGGCGGGCAACCTAGACTCAAATATTTAGCCTCAACACTCCCCAGTGATAGACAGGAATGGTGTGAGAGGGCAAGGGAACGCACCGGTTCTGGGCTGCTGGGGTCCAAGATTTCATCCCAATCGAAATACTCATCATCCAAATTGGGGAAATTGGCAAACATCTCGGGCTATAGCAGATAGTCGTTAGATTCTAAAATACCAGAAACCACAACAGAGAATACTCAGGGTCATACCTTCATCAAACCAAGCAGGTCTTCAAGCTCGATAGGCTCCGCATCCATACCCTCCTCCACTGTATCATCGTCCTGATTCTCCCGGTCCGCAGATGCCAGAATCACCCTCATCTTCTCTTCCTCTTGTTCCCATTGTGCATATCTCTCGTCCTCATCGAGCACCATAACACCTTCCTCAGAATCAGTATCATCACCTGCCTCCCCTTCATGCGCTTCTTCATCTTGTGCCATCTCAATCTCATCATCGCCACTGCCCCTTTGAACAGCTCTCGGGTTCCTCCCGTAATAATTCTTCCTAATCCCAATGCTCAAGGCGCGAACAACCTGATGAACAGCCTTGTAAATCCTGTTGTACCACAGGAAGGTTAGCCAATCAGAATGTCCTCGGGAAAATCACCAGCTAGAACAAGATGAATCAAATAGAGAAAGAAAAAACATACCGATCATAATCCACAGGCCAGACTAACCCCCTCGTGCCGCTCGGAAAAAACCTAGGCCCAACCTCCTCAATTGTTTTATGGAACCAGAGGTGGTAGGATTTCCTATTTGCTCCATAGCCCAAACGGCTGAACTCGAAAGCGGGAATGCCGGGGATGACGACAGACTTGATGTAAACCTTAAGCTCATAGTACTTGTCCGAGGTCATGGAAATTTTGGTGATGTGCTTGGGAATCCTGGCCTTTCTGGTAGCACCTAGAGATTTTCTTCCCATTTTTGCGATTTTGATTGGATATTCGATTCTTTTTGGTTGTAATGGTTGTCCTGGCGACGGTTGTGGAGTGGTATGGGTGAAATCCTAGACCATTGATAAGAGGATGTCAGAGGGGTGGGAGGGGGTACGGTATCATATCCTGAAAGATGAGGATCTAGGGACCGGTGCTAACCTCAGTCGTATTTTACTTTATAGAGTTGGGAGAGCTCCAGGTAAGGAGACCTCGCAAGTCATGTATTCTCATTCGCTCAGAACGCCTATTCATGGATAACTCCTGGAATAATGGCGCGCGATGGGATATGTAGTGCTATCATAGATCAAAAAGGTTCGCCCATAGTGCCTTTTTACACCAAATATATCCGTTTTTACCCCCTTTGGATAACGTCAGTGCTCAAAATTTTTAGGAATCTATCAAACCTCACGGGATGCCACCGAATACATGGATAACATTTAAACTTTAGAGTACTCATAAACCTATGGAGCGAATATGGGCTAGGTGCCAGGTATGTGGTTTCCACGCATGTTTTTCTGCTGGGCCAGATTCAAAACTATAAGTCGCTTTCACACCAAATGATATCATTTCGGATCGTGAACTCAATCTCAAACTTTCTTTATCTGTGCTTCTACCGCGATGGGTTGAAGGATTTTCCAACAAATCCCAAAACTCGAATTGTTCTCAACATAGTAGCTCATGGGGGGGCAATCTCTCTAAAAATATTGATCACCGGCAAAATCCCACAGAAAAAAGCCCATGCCGAGCGAGGCGCTTTTGTTTGGTATGATATTTTATATGTTGGACAAAACATGAAGCAAAATTCCCACTTTCCCATCCCCCCAGGAGGGTGATTTTCCTCTTTTCCCCTCGTAAGTAGAGCGTGGATATTGGCCAACTCCAAGCAAGCTGTTATAACACCTTGGGGGTTTACGGCGAATTTTAATTTTATCTTCGGATGAAGCATAGAGTCAACACGATAAATAGGCAGTAAATCATTCACAGACCTAAAAATTTGTAAAAGTCTCACATGAAAGGAGAACGAATATCGACAGGAATAATGAAAATATTCCTAGCTTCTGCGACATAATTCAAGTATTTTTCCTCTGTCATATTCTCCAACAGTAGCCCCACTTGCAATAAGTACGGAGATATCTCAGGTTATGCGCTGTGCTTGAGTCACCACTTGAGATTAGATGAAGCCCCAGCCAATGTTTGCCACCCCCAGCCAACCCATCCTTTGATCTGAGGACACTATTTGTTTTCCAAGGAAACTCCACAAACAATTAATGAAAGTGAAAATCGAATTTGATTCAGCTAGAAATACAGAAACAGTTTGTTTACTTTTTTTTTATTCGAGCCTCTGCAGTCCAGAATAATCAGACAAGCACAGTTCCAAGCCCCGACCTACCCACGCCCCACTAAAATAAGCGCCACATAAAGTATCGAATGAATGCGCAACAGTATTGATGTTAAGTTAAGAAAGCAACAAGAGAAGGCGGGCAATCTAGACGCAAATATTTAGCCTCAACATTCTGCAGTGATAGATAGGAATGGTCTAAGTGAGCGAGAGAACACACCGGTTCTGGGCTACTAGGGTCCAAGATTTCATCCCAATCGAAATACTCATCATCCACATTCGGGAAATTGGCAAACACCTCGGGCTATAGTAGACAGTTAGATTCTAAAAGATACGGGAAACCATAGCAGAGAGTACTCAGGGTCATACCTTCATCAAACCGAGCAAGTCTTCAAGCTCGATAGGCTCCGCATCCATGCCCTCCTCCACCGTATCATCGTCCTGATTCTCCTGGTCTCTAGCCGCCTGAATCGCCATCCTCTTTTCTTCTTCTTGCTCCCTTTGGACATATGTCCTATCCTTATTGAGCACCATAACATCCTCCTCACTATCAGTATCGTCGCTAACCTCCCCTTCGTGTAGTTCCTCATCTTGTGCCATCTCCATCTCATCATCGCTACTGCCCCTCTGAGCAGCTCTCGGCTCCCTCCTGTAATAATTCTTCCTAATCCCAATGCTCAAGACACGCACAACCTGATGGACAGCCTTGTAAATCCTATTATATCATAGGACGGTTAGCCAATCATAATGTCCTTGAGAATCACTGGATAGGACAAGATGGAATCAAATAGAGAAAGTAAAAAACATACTGATCGTAATTATCTGGCCAGGCCAGGCCCCTCGTGCCGCTCGGGAAAAACCTAGGCCCAATATCCTCAAGGGTTTTATGGAGCCAGAGGTGATATGAGTTCTTGCTTGTTCCGTGGCTCAGACGCCTCAACTCGAAAGCGGGAGTGCCGGGGACGACGACAGACTTGATGTAAACCTTAAGCTCATAGTACTTGTTGGGGGTCATGGAAATTTTGGTGATGTGCCCGGGGATTCTGGCCTTTCTGGTAACCCCTAGAGATTTCCTTCCCATTTTTGTGATTTTTTTTTTTGGATATTCGACTTTCTCGGTGGTGGCGGTGGTTGTCCTGGTGATGGTAGTGGTGGTGTGGGGGGAATCCTAGACCACTGGTAAAAGGATATCAAAGGGATGGGAGGGTTATGTTATCCTGAAAAATGAGGATCTAGGATCTGGTGTTGACCCCAGTTGTATGAAATTTTACTTTATAGGGCTGGGAGAGTTCCAGAAAAGGTGACATCGCAATCATGTATTCTCACTAGATCAGTACTCCCACTAACAGGTAACCCCTAGGATAAAGGCGGGCAGTGGGATAACGTAGTGCCAGTTAAAAATGTTTCATCAGAGGACCATTTTCCACCAAATGTATCTAGTTTTACCTCCCATTCGGACCCTCAGTTGTTCCCCAACCTCACAGCTTTTAAGGCAAACTACCACTCGAGTAAGAACGCTAATCGGCGGGTGTGGGAAAGGAAAGAGTATAACATGAGTCACGGGCAAAGAAAGGGGCTTAGAGTTTGTGACCTCCAAGTAGTTTCGTATCGGACTTGAAGACTTTTCCTTCTCCGTATATTGCCCCAAACCGTTCAGGATAACCAAATTAAAGGAGGGGATGGCACTAATCCACATAAGAATCTACAAATATCTTATTCCATGACGTCAAACCTCTGGACATCGTACAAAACTTCATCATATCTCAGAACTCGTAAAGGCTATAGAACTGTTGGGAGAACTTGAACTAGGTGGAAGGTATCATCTGTGGTTTCCGTGTATGATACCTTTCTCTATTGAACCCCGCTCAACCCCCTAAACCACCCTCCCGCCAAGTGGTACGACTCTAAGTCGCGAACCCAATCTCAACTTCCCCCCCTTCGTGCCTGTGCGGGGATGAGTCGAAGGAATTTTCCAAAAAATATCAAAATTCCAGCTATTCTTAACGATGCAGCATCTCGGGTCATTTCTCCGAAAATGCCTATCACCCGCCAAATCAGGTGTAAAAACCTATGTCGGGCGAAGCTTTCTTGTTGAGCACGATGCTTTATACGCTGGAAAAAATATGCAGAAGCACCCGCACTGCTCCGCCCCCCCCCTCCTGAAGGCCACTACCCCCCCTTTCTTCCTCCCGGAGAGCAGAGCGCGGAAATTAACTAGACGTGAAAAAGGCTATGATAATACCAATGGGTTTTGCAGTTATATAATTTTTCATTCTTCGTGTGAAGCATAGTCCAGACGATAGAGTATAACTACCCGGATTAGAGCAGCAAATTATTCTTGGAACTATCTGAGCTGCCGTAAAACTCGCGCGTAAAAACAGAAAGCATATCGATAGCAATAGTTAAAATAACACCATTTTCCATGATACAATTCGAGTGTTTCTCTACCCTCCCTTATTCTCCTACACTGGAAGGTCATATATTCCAAGATATCCCGTGTCACGTATTGTGCTTGATTCGCCGAGAGAGATTTCGTGAAGCTCCGGACAATGTTTGTCACCAACCAACCCATGTTTTGATCTGAGAACACTATTTGTTTTCCAAGGAAATTCCAGACAATTAATAAAATTGGAAATGAAATTGGGTTCAACTAGAAGTACAGAAACAGCTCGGTTATTTTTATTGAACCTCTAGTGTCTAGATTGGTCAGACAAGCGCAGTTCCATTCCAAGATCTGCTCATGTCGCAAAAGGGTGGGCGTCACCTAAAGTGTCGAATAAAAGCGAAATAGCGTCAATGCTAAGTTAAGAAAGCAACAAGAGAAGGCGGGCAATCTAGATGCAAATATTTAGCCTCAACACTCTGCAGTGATAGATAGGAATGATCTGAGTGGGCCAGATAACTCACCGGTTCTGGGCTGCTAGGGTCCAAGATTTCATCCCAATCGAAATACTCATCATCCACATTCGGGAAATTGGCAAACACCTCGGGCTATAGAGGGCAGCCGTCAGATTCGAAAAATACCGGAAACCACAGCAGAGGGTGTTCATGGTCATACCTTCATCAACCCAAGCAGGTCTTCAAGTTCGATAGGCTCCACATCCATGGCTTCCTCCACCGTATCGTCGTCCTGATTCTCCTGGTCGATAGCCTCCAGAACCCCCCCCATCTTCTCCTCTTCCTGCTCCCATTGTGCATATCTCGCATCCTCATCAAGCGCCACAAAATCCTCCTCAGTATCAGTATCACCAGCTTCCCCTTCATGGGGCTCCTCATCCTGTGCCATCTCCATCTCATCATCGCTACTGCCCCTTTGAACAGCTCTCGGGTTCCTCCTGTAATAATCCTTCCTAATCCCAACGCTCAAGACACGCATAACCTGATGAACAGCCTTGTAAATCCTATTACATTCGAAGGTTAGCCAACTAAAATGTGTCCACCAGAAAATCGCTAGGTTGAACAAGATAAAATAAAATAGAGAAAGAAAAAATCATACTTATCATAATCCTCAGGCCAGACTAACCCCCTCACGCCGCTCGGGAAAAATCTAGGCCCAATCTCCTCAAGAGCTTTGTGGAGCCAGAGATAGTAGGATTTCGTGTTTGTGCCATGGCCTAGACGCCCAAATTCGAAAGCCGGAGTGCGGGGATTACGATAGACTTGATATAAACCTTAATTTCATAGTATTTGTCGGAGGTCATGGAAATTCCAGTAATGTGCTTGGGGATTCTGGCCTTTCCAGTAGTCCCGCCAGATTTTCTTCCCATTGTCGCGATTTTTGTTGGTTATTCGGTTTTATTCGTAGTGGTAGTGGTTGTCCCAGTGATGGTTGTGGTGGGGTGTCGGAGAAATCCTAAATCATTGATAAGAGGATCTCAGACCGATGGGGAAGGTTATGATATCCCGAAGTATGAGGATCTAGGTTCTGGGGTCCACCTCAGCCTTATTTTACTTTATAGGGTTGGGAAAGCTGGAATAATTTCTCCGAAAATGCCTATCTGCGGCCAAATCTTCTGTAAAAACCCACGCCGGGCAGAAAGTTCTTGTTGGGCACGATATCTTATATTATACACTGGAAAAAATATTCAGCGGCCTTCGCACTCTCCATCCCTCGGAGGGTCACCGCTCCCCCTTTTCCTCGGCCTCGAGAGCCGAATGCGGAAACTAAACTGGCTCCAAAAAGCCTGTGATATCACAATAGGGTTTTACGGCTGTAATTTTTTTTATTCTTCGCGTCAAGCATAGAGTCCACATGATTGAACACGGCTACCCGGATTAGCAGGTAAATTATTTGTGGAACTATCTATGGGGCTACAAAGTCTCACATGCAGGCAAAACGAATATCGACAGCAATAATTAAAATAGTGCCAGCTTCTAGGATATAATTAGTATGTTTTTCCTCTCTCATATTCTCCAATAGTGAGCGCGCCCATGATATGATACGTTCCGAAATATCTCGAGTGATGTGCTGTGCCCGAGTCACCGATTGAGATTTGGTGAAGCTCCAAGCAAGGTTGGCCAGCACTAACAAAGCCATAGTCCGACCTCAGGGCACTAATTGTTTTCCAAAGAAACTCTACAAACAACTAATAAAAGTAAAAATCAAATTTAATTCAGCTAGAAATACAGAAACAGCTTATCTATTGAGCCTCTATTGCCCAGAATAATCAGACAAGCACAGCTCCATGTCTCCGATCTACCTAGTTCCCACTAGAATAAACGCCGCGGAAGTGTCGAATAAAAGTGGAACAGTATCGATGCTAAGTTAAGAGAGCAATAAGAGAAGGCGGGTAATCTAGACGCATATATTAGCCTCAGCACTCCGCAGTGATAGACAAGAATGGTCTAAATAAGCAAGATAACGTACCGGTTCTGGGTTCCTAGGGTCCAAGATTTCATCCCAGTCGAAATACTCATCATCCACATTAGGGAAATTGACAAACACCTCGGGCTATAGCGGACAGTTGTTAGATTCTAAAAATACCGGAAACCACAGCACAGGGTGCTCATGGTCATACCTTCATCAAACCAAGCAAGTCTTCAACCTCGATAGGCTCCGCATCCATGCCCTCTTCCACTGTATCATCGTCCTGATTCTCCCGGTCCGCAGCTGCCAGAATCGCCCTCATATTCTCCTCTTCTTGTTCCCATTGACCATATCTCTCATCCTCATTGAGCACCACAACATCTTCCTCGGTATCTGTATCATCACTAGCCTCCCATTCATGCGCTTCCTCATGCTGTGCCATCTCAATCTCATCATCGCCACTGCCCCTTTGAACAGCTCTCGGGTTCCTCCTATAATAATTCTTCCTAATCCCAATGCTCAAGGCACGAACAACCTGATGGATACCCTTGTAAATCCTATTATACCACAGGAAGGTTAGCCAATCAGAATCTCCTCGGGAAAATCACCAGTTAGAACAAGATGAATCAAATAGAGAAAGAAAAAACATACTGATCATAATCCACAGGCCAGACTAACCCCCTCGTGCCGCTCGGAAAAAACCTAGGCCCAACCTCCTCAAGAGTTTTATGGAGCCAGAGGTGGTAGGATTTCTTATTTGCTCCATGGCCCAGACGCCTAAACTCGAAAGCGGGAGTGCCGAGGATGACGACAGACTTGATGTAAACCTTAAGCTCATAGTACTTGTCCGAGGTCATGGAAATTTTGGTGATGTGCTTGGGAATCCTGGCCTTTCTAGTAGCACCTAGAGATTTTCTTCCCATTTTTGCAATTTTGGTTGGATATTCGATTTTTTTTTTTGGTTGTAGCGGTCGCCCCGGTGACGGTTGTGGAGTGGTATGGGTGAAATCCTAGACCATTGATAAGAGGATGTCAGAGGGATGGGAGGGGCTATTATGAGATGAGGATCTAGGGTCCGGTGTTAACCTCAGTCGTATTTTACTTTATAGGTTTGGGAGAGATCCAGAAACGGTGACATCGCAGTCATGCATTTTCATTCGCTCAGAAGGCCTTTTCATAGGTAGATCCTGGAATAACGGTGGGTAATAGGCCATGTAGTACTAGCTCAAAATGCTTCACCAGAGGCCCTTTTATACCAAATGCACCCATTTTTACCCCCCAAACTGACAACACTAGTACGCACTAGAATCTATGATACCTGCATCCCATTCCATGCTATCAGACCTGTGAATAACATATAAAACTTTACAGAAGTTATAAAAGCCATGGAACCGTGGAGATAATGTAAACTCAGTGGGAGGCACTATATCACATTTTACATTACCGCTTTCTATAGAGCCCTATCAAATTCTTCGTGATAATACAATTGAGTTTTTTAAGGCGGTAATTTTTTTTTTACACTGTGTGGAGCATAGTAGCCACATGATCGAATATAGCTACACAGATCAGAGCAGGTAAATTATACATGGAAGTACCTGAGCCGCTAAAAAAACTCCACATAAAAAGCCGAATGGATATTGACAGCAGTAATTAGGATAGTAACCACCTCCCGTGACACAATTCGAGTGTTCCCCCACTCCTTATGTTAGTACCAAAGCAGTCGTCTAGCAATAAAGTCACCGATATCTTTGGTTTCATAAAACCAAACCAACCTGTCTGAATAACACTTGTATTTTGTACGGTTTCCAGGTATAGAGTAATGGAATTGAAAGAAAAATAAGAAAACCAGTAGGTGTTTGACTGGCTTGCCAGTAGATTGATATGTCAACACTTGTTCTTCTATAGCGGAATGTCTTACGTTCCAAGATATCTTGGGTCGTGTAGCGTACTTGATTCACCGATTGAGATTCGGTGAAGCTCCAGGCGATGCTTGCCATGTCCAACCAACCCATGTTTTGATCCGAGGACGCTATTTATTTTCCAAGAAAACTCCATACACAATTAACAAAAGCTAAAATCGAATTGGATTCAACTAGAAATACAGAGACAGTTCATTCGCTTTTATCGAGCCTCTACGGTCTGGAATAATCAGGTAAGCACGGTTCCACGGCCTGATCTACCCACGTCCCACTAAAAGAAAAATGCCACAATAAGTGCCGAATAAACGCGCAACAGTATCGATGTTAAGTTAGGAAAGCAACAAGAGAAGGCGGGCAATCTAGACGCAAATATTTAGCGACAAAATAACGCACCGGTTCTGGGCTGCTCGGGTCCAAGATCTCATCCCAATCGAAATACTCATCATCCACATTCGGGAAATTGGCAAACACCTCGGGCTATAGTGAACAGCTGTCAGATTCGAAAAATACCGGAAATCAGGGCAGAAAGTGCTCATGGTCATGCCTTCATCAACCCAAGCAGGTCTTCAAGTTCGATAGGCTCAGCACCCATGGCTTCCTCCACCGTATCGTCGTCCTGATTCTCCTGGTCTCTAGCCTCCAGAATCACCCTCATCTTCACCTCTTCCTGCTCCCATTGTGCGTATCTCCCATCCTCATCAAGCGCCACAACATCCTCCTCAGTATCAGTATCACCAGCTTCCCCTTCATGGAGCTCCCCATCCTGTGCCATCTCCATCTCATCATCGCTACTACCCCTTTGAACAGCTCTCGGGTTCCTCCTATAATAATCCTTCCTAATCCCAGCGCTCAAGATACGTACAACCTGATGAACAACCTTGTAAATCCTATTACATCATACGAAGGTTAGCCAACCAAAATATCCCCCAGAAAATCACTAGATTGAACAAGATAAAATCAAATAAAGAAAAAAACATACTTATCATAATCCTCAGGCCAGACCAACCCCCTCGCGCCGCTCGGGAAAAATCTAGGCCCAATCTCCTCAAGAGTTTTGTGGAGCCAGAGATAGTAGGATTTCTTGTTTGTGCCATGGCCTAGACGCCTAAATTCGAAAGCCGGAGTACCCGGGACGACGATAGACTTGATATGAACCTTAAGCTCATAGTACTTGTCCGAGCTCATGGAAATTCCAGTAATGTACTTGGTGATTCTGGCCTTTCTGGTAGTCCCCCGAGGTTTTTTTCCCATTTCTGCGATTTTGGTCGAATATCAGTTTTTATTTGGTGGTGGTGGTTGTCCTGGTGATGGTTGTGGTGTGATGTGGGAGAAATCCTAAATCATTGATAAGAGAATGTCAGAGGGACGGGAAGGGCTCGGATATCCTGAAAGATGAGGGTCTAGGGTCAGGTATTGACCTCAGCCGTATTTCACTTTGTAGGGTTGGGAAAGCGGGAATCATTGCTCAGAAAATGTCTATCGGCCGCCAAATCTGCTGAAAAAAAAACCCCATGTCGGGCAGAAAGGTCTCGTTGAGCACAACACCTTATGCGCTCGAAAAAATATGCACCAGCGTTCGCACTTGCCCATCCCCATCGGAGGGCCACTGCTTCCCCTTTTCTTCCGCCCAGAGAGCCGAACGTGGAAACCAAATAGGCCCCAAAAAGAGCGTGATATCACAAGATAGTTTTATGGCTATGATACTAGCTATTGTGCTACTCCCCCCCCCCTTTTTTTTATCAATGCCTAATATCCAATTTCACAGGGAGCTGAATTCCAAAACTAACCATGGATTAGAGTGCTAGGTACCATCTTCTTTTTTGGATTTGTTTTGAGATGCAAAGAGGAGAGTATGAAAGATCCACACATCTTCTTGCTAACTTTGTTCTAGTGAGTGAAAACAACACACTTGAGTTCCCTGAACCATCTATCAAAAAGGACAAGCTGACCTGTATTTCTACAACTTACTCAGTTGGTCTTACTTTGGTGTGGCCTTTAGTGAGGTGGCTTAAGTTTCTAAACAATTGCTGGGATATACATAGCCTAGCAAGGTTAATAGGGATAGCTGAAGCCTTAGATTGATGGGAAAATATGATGAGCCCTTTTTAGAGCCATAAATACCTAGTTGCACACTGCTAAGGGATTTCAACATTTTTATTTACCAGTCCTCCAAAGATGCTCCAAGATTTCATTGATGGGGGGTGGAATAGTACTGGGATAATCCTGTGGAGAGAGAACCTGATAGTGGGGGATTAAGATGCTTTGTGGTAATATTTATAGTTCATTACAAGGCATTTGGCATGGAAGGGGCTGCTTTCATGTCATAACTTGGTGGTTCTACCTAGAGGTTGTGCACTTGAGGATTGAAGGATTTAGGAGGAGGTGGGTCTTGTTCAGATATACCACTTCTAGTCACTGTTAAGAAAGAAGAGTGAAGGTGTGTGTCTTTTGGCATCTGATAATGTTCTGCAGATCTGCAGTTGCAAATAACTGGATAAAAAGGTACTGTGAAGGAACAGGAAACAAAAGTATATGGCAAACTTATAGTAATCTGATAAGTGTTTAGACATGCTCTGTATTTGCTAACAGCTTAGTTCTCACTACTACTTTTCCAATACTACTTTCTAACTATTCTATAACTATATCATATAAATGTAACCCTTTATTGCAAACTAAACTTAAATAATTAAGCCAGTTTGACAACACTAGGGTCTCTCCTTTGGAGATTTTTCTAGACAAACTACTAGGATTTTGTAATTACCAATAGGTAATACAATATAAAGGCATGCAACTAATTTTTATTTTCAGGGCAAACTTCATCAGATATCTCTAGATATATGAATATCATTATATCAGAGAGAGGGATCTTAATATCATTTGAAGTTGCCAGTATAGTAGATCCCTCAGATCATGAGCTCATATGGTCACCTGGACCCGCTTATGGTTACCAATCCTTAAGACCCCTGAGGGAAGGTGATACCTAAACTTTGAATATAAGCATTCATGATCCATCAGTTTTTCCCTCAAATTCCCACTTAAAGCTTTGTCCTTTTGGATCTTTCTCCTAAATGTTTATTTTTAATCCCTCCCTCCCTCCCTGGCTTTAAGCTTATAGTTAGTCTTCAGGTAGTATTACCTTAACTTATCTGCTATAATCATGGTATAATACCAATTACTGTGAGTTAGCTTATTATATCTCACTTCTTAGTTAGTATTTGTCTGCACTAACCTAAGGAGCTTAAAGGACTTAGACTTACAGAGATGTATAAGGATGAGAGAGAAAGAGAGAGAGTAAGGAAGAGGAAGGGGGGAGAAAAGGAAGAGAGAAGGAGAAGAAGAGAAGAGAGGAAGAGAGGAAGAGAGGAAGAGAGGAAGAGAGGAAGAGAGGAAGAGAGGAAGAGAGGAAGAGAGGAAGAGAGGAAGAGAGGAAGAGAGGAAGAGAGGAGAAGAGAGAGGAGAGAGGAGAGAGGGGAGAGGAGAGAGGGAGAGGAGAGAGGAGAGAGGAGAGGAGGGAGGAGGAGAGAGGAGAGAGGAGAGAGGAGAGAGGAGAGAGGAGAGAGGAGAGAGGAGAG